TCAAGAATAAGGCCAATTTGTAGAGCAAAGTATCAAAATACAAAAACAGAATAGTCTTTTCCTTGGATTCTTCAAAGTATATAGTATTTGCAATACTGTTAATTTTTAAAATTTTCTTTTTGTAAGGAATTGGAGGAACAACATAAAAAGGAGAAACTAAACCTGGAAGAAGATAAAAATCATCTTCAACAAGAGCTAGAAAACCTGAAGAAAGTACTGGAAGATAAGTTGAATACAGCCAATCAAGAGGCAAGAATTCTTTAGGCCTATCACCTATGTTATATATATTAACAATATTAGTGACTTATTCTGGTGACGTTGTAGAAGTAGGTGAGCCTCAGTGAAGGTAACATATCTGGAGTAAAAATAATCAAAAAATTTTATGCTGAATTTTTCATAATTTTGGTTATGTCCCACTAGGTAAAAATTCACTGTCAAAAACATTAAACCAAGGCGCTTTTGTGGGAGCGAAATCAAAACAAAGGGGAACATCACTATATGGGAAAAAAAACAAAAGAGGTTTCTCTGCTCTTTTACAAAATATTAGCTTAGTATTCTCTATACTGTGTCTCTTTCTACAATTTCAACAGAATTGTAGGATGGTAGCTAGAGTGAGTAGGCTTAATCTGAGTACTAGTATGCAACACTGCTCTTTTAAAACTAGATGTGAATTGAAGAGGAGAGCAAAGTGAAGTTTCAACCTCAAATCAAAAAAGTTCCACATGGGCTAAGGATTAAAATGTAATACAAAATCATGAATGTGAATATAAATAAAATACGAAAACACAAGTGACAAACCTTAGGACAAAGAAGGCCTTTTGAATATAATACCCATATCATGAATTAAAAACAGAATATTTATGCAGCTAAACCTGAAACTTCTGTATATCAAAACATATCATAAGCAAAATAAAAAGAGAGGAAAAATTGGGATGGATGGAATGAACAGTTGACAGATTGTATGACTAATAAAGAATTCATGTCTTTAACACCTTAAGAGTGTTTACAAAACAATAAGAAAAATACAGGTACCCAATTTGTTTTTATAGACTGAAGAAGAACATGAAAAAACAATTTGTTTTGTGTAATTTAAGAACTGGAAATGAAATCAATGAGATGCCATTCCATTACCAAATAGAGTGAGACCATGC